GAGAGAGAGAGAGAGAGAGAGAGAGAGAGAGAGAGAGAGAGAGAGAGAGAGAGAGAGAGAGAGAGAGAGAGAGAGAGAGAGAGAGAGAAGGTAAGAATGCTAGCTTTTCACCTCGCTTGCCTGTGTTTTTGGTGATTCCTTAGTGACTCTCTCCATCTCCCGCTCTCGCCCGGTTTTCTGTTTGTTTGTGGTTATCTCCTTGGTCACCAAACAACGAGTTCCACGATCTTCCACGCGCGCAGTTTGGCACCTTCCGGTGAGCCTGGAAACCGAAAATGAATTGCGGATAGTTGCATTTTTCAAGACCAAGGATCGAGCTGCAAATGCAAGGGAGATGAGAGCAGCGACCATATATATTGTCACAATATATCAGAGCGCAAATGCGGAAAAAAAGGAAAAAAAGGAAAAGAAAATTGAATTCAATTTTTTTTCTTCTTCCTTATAACTCCCCCTGTCCAGAACCTCTTGCGGACAAGGCCGCCCACGTGGATGTAGGTTGAGCGGCGGCTGCCCCCACCCCCGTGTGTCATATTGACCCACTTGCACACAGCCAAAAGGCAAAGAGGCGAAGAAAAGAGAAAGGGAACAGCCAAATACAACAGATCTATGTTGTTTTCCATACTCATGGGAAGGTGCCAAACTGGGCACGTGGAAGACCCTGGAACTCATTGTTTGGTGGGCAAGGAGGTAACCACAAACAAACAGAAAACCGGGAGATGGAGAGAGTCGCTAAGGAATCACTAAAAACACAGGCAAAAAGCGAGGTGAAAAACCAACGTTCTTACCCCCTCTCTCTATATATAGAAAAGCGAGGTGAAAACTAAATTCTTACCACACACAGAGAGAGAGAGAGAGAGAGAGAGAGAGAGAGAGAGAGAGAGAGAGAGAGAGAGAGAGAGAGAGAGAGAGAGAGAAGAATGGTTGAATGTTAGTTTTTCATCTCGCTTTTCGCCTGTGTTTTGGTGATTCCTTGGTGACTATCTCCATCGCGGTGTCTCTGAGTTTTCTGTTTGTTTGTGGTTGTCCTTGCCCACCAAACATTCCACGATCTTCCGCGCGCACAGTTTCGCGCCTACAGGTGAGCATGGAAACTGAAAATGACTTGCGGATAGCCCATATTTCAAGACCGAGGGTCGACCTCCAAATGCACGGAAGACTTTGTGCGAGAGAGAGAGAGAGAGAGAGAGAGAGAGAGAGAGAAGGGGGGAGGGGAAGAGAGGGAAGAATGTTAGCTTTTCACGTCGACTTTTACATGTGGTTATGATGATTCCGTAGTGCTCTCTCCATCTTTCTCTCTCTCTCTCTCTCTGTGTTTGCTGCTTGTTTGTAGTGATCTGTTGCCCTCCAAACAATCAGTCCCGCGAACTTCACGCACGCAGTTCAGCACCTCCCAATGAGAATGGGAATCGGAAATGACTCGCGGATAGCTCGTCTTTGAGGACGCAGTACTCGACCTCCAAGTGCACACGGAAGATGAAATCAGCGACCATGTGTGCGTGCGTGTGTGTG